TTATTCTTTGAGGTTAGGAAAGGAGAGAAAGGCATTCTAGCTACCTGTCTAATCTGAGGATGGTGAAAGATGCAGAGAGTGCTTGTTGGTTCCTTGGAGGGTGGAGAGAGAAGACAAAGGAAAGAGAGATAGTGGGAGGGAGGGAAGTCCCTTAGAACAGCAGTCTGAGATTAAAGATATAGCTACAGAGCAGACACGAGGAGACGATAAGGAAAGGGTACGTCTCCCTTACTACCTCTATTGCCCCTTCTATAGTACAGGTGTACTTGGAGTTCGAAAGCAAGAAATTGCAAGTAGATAAATAGGTATTACTTCGGTGGGAAAGTAACAGCGTTCTGTGCACTTTGGTGTTTAGTCATGCCGGCCACATGACCACGGAAACGTCTTCGGACAGCGCTGGCTCTTCGGCTTTGAAACGAAGATGAGCACTGCAGCCCTAGAGTCGGATTCGACTGGCTTTCAAGCAAGGGAACCTTTACCTTTACCTTTTTACTTGAAGAGACGTTGCATGCTCCTTCGCTGCCAGGAAGATGATGGAAGAAGTGTGGTAGCTAGAGCGTCTTCTCCATCATCATCAGTGGCAGTCTCTGCAGGAGTGGTTTCCTTTCTGGCTTGTTCAGGGAGAAGTTCCCTGCCAGTCTCCAGATTCTTTTATGTCCCAGAACCGCTCCAATTGTGAGAAGTTTCTCGGCCTTTGCCTTAGTCTTCGACAACAGTTGACAATTGAGCTAGATCTTCCCGAATGTTTCTGAACTTCTTTAAACTCTTGCAACAGCTTCCATCTCCTGCAGTGCGACAGGATGAGGATAATTGTATATGTATGCTAGAGAGCGAGCGCTGAACAGGAAACTGTGAATAAACCAAGAGGTTTTCGTGTTGCTTTTGAGAAAGAAAGTTGTCCAGTGAGCCAGAATGTCGTTGTGTGTAATAACCGCTGGCACAGATCACCGTTATGCACAAACGTTGTTTGAGAATAAGCTATCTTTAGAGAAAGCTCTTAAGAAGTTGAAAGGGTGCGTCAGGTTCAAACTGTGATTTCTCGTTGCCATAGTTGGCAGGTGTTGCAGAGTTCTTGGAAAACATCTTGCTACGATCGTGATGACCCAGCTGCTGATTTGGGAAGGTAAAACGGATTGGGAAAAGTTGGCCTGTTTCTCGTGGCACAGAGCTGGGAGCGGCATGGCGATCCATTTTCGTACTCTACGCTGTTGTTGGCCATGGTCGTGTTTGTGCTGCAAAGGGTGACGTGGACTTCTCTCACGCAGGGAGGTTGCTCTGTGTGGCCGGCAGGATGCCTCTGCTCTTGGGAAGGAGCTTCCATGGTGCTCAGTTGGATCATAACCTGTGGGACTCCTGTGCTTTCCCACTTTGAGCAGTAGCAAAAATAAATAAATAAACCTTACCCCCTCTACTTTAGCTCAGGGGGGACCGACAGGGTGGCTGTGAGTAGAGTGCCCTTGTGGATCTCCTCCCTGCAACCAGTTTAGGAAGTGGGAGGAGCTAAGTCCCATCGTCAACATGACACTACTGAGCTCTGCCTTCCCCCCATGTTAAGCCCTTTAACGGCCTTTTCCTTGACCCTAGCTTGGGTGGAGGTGGGGACAGCCATGTCTGGTGAAGGGGCAGAGCACGTGGACTTCTGTGTGCTTCCGCGCTGCTTACAGCTGCTTCTACAGGAAGGGCACCTTTTCTTGCCCCTGTGTGGAAGCGGTCATGGAAAGGGGGAAGCAGAAGAAGCAGAAGAAGAGGAGGAGGAGGAGGAGGAGGAGACTGGATTTATACCCCACCCTTCGCTCAGAGTCTCAGAGCGGCTTACAGACTCCTTTCCCTTCCCCTCCCCACAACAGACACCCTGTGAGGTAGGTGGGGCTGAGAGAACTCTTTCAAGAGCTGCTCTTTCAAGAACAGCTCTTATCAAAACTATGGCTTGCCCAATTTCATCCAGTAGCTGCAAGTGGAGGAGTGGGGAATCAAACCTGGTTCTCCCAGATTAGAGTCTGCACACTTAACCACCGCACCAAACTAGGCAGCTGTGTTGTTATAGGTAACATATTTTGTGCAGTGTATATCAGTGGGAGAATGGTTCAGGTTTGGTTTCCATACAAAAAAGGTAAGGTTTTGAAACTTGACTCTTGAACAATGTTGTAAACACACAATCCAGCATTCCAGCACATATTTATTTTTCTTGAGGTGCCACATTCACTTCCATAAAATACAGAACAGCAGTAAAACAAAAAAACAACAACCCAAGAGTATCAAATTCCAGCAATATAAACATACAAAACAGAAACTAACAATAAGAAGTCTTAACAGCTTAACAATACAACCTGTAAGAGCAATAAAGACACCAGCTCCTATTTACCCAGGCTTTCTGTTGATTGTTTTTTCCTGTAGATTTATTTTTAATGTGAATTTTAATATGTAATTGTTTGTTTTTTAAGTGTCTCTAAGTCACCTTGGATGCCTCTGGTATAGATAGCGGGATAGAAATTGTGCAAGTGAGTAAACAAATAGAAAATAAAAACCAATAAAAGCAGTGGTGGCGATATCAAGGTTTTTCAGAGTGAAACAATATTGATTAATCATTGCCGAAACCCTGAGAAAATAGAAATGTTGGCAATTGGCGTCTGAAATTGTAACGTGAGTAGCTGGAGACTGAGAAAGAATTCCATACCTAGTTCAAGTTCAAAGTTTTATTTTAATACGAGATCAGCTCCAGAGAGTCAGCAGTAATAGTACAAAAAAGAAAAGATTAAAAAAATAAAGAGGATGCGTGCAGGGCAAGGAACGCAAAGCAATGAGGGCAGATTGTTTGGGGGGGGGGGATGATGCCCTCCTCCCAAAAGAGGGGTAAGATTATTGAGACTCAGCCAGCCACTTGCATATCCCACATGCTCAAAGGCAAAATTTGGTAACTTCATTCGTTATCTCCTGGAAAGAGTCTGCAAGAAGGCGTGAGACATAAAGTTGGTCAGATTTTCCTGGTAAAGTTGACAGGATTGGAGCAATATACGGAGATCGGATGTCATTATCGAGAGCAGTGTTCAATGGACTCTGCCTCCCCTGTATCTGCCTTCCCAGGAGGGCTGAAGGTAGAACGTTAAAGTGTGCCGGGGGTAATGATTCTCCGATAGTTGGAGATCTCAAGGGATCTAAGGTAATCTGCTGGTTGAAAGCATTTGGCATACTGCAGAATAATTGGATATTTCTGTATTTGTGCCCTGTCTGAACGGGTAGCCGGAGGCTGAGAAAGAATTCCATACCTAAAATGCCTCCGCATGTGTGACAGCCGGCCCCTTCGTATCCCCTCCAAATGGGAGCATGACTTGGTGGCTTCTTTGTGGAGGCACTAGAATATTCCTAGAGTAGTAGAAAAATTGGCTTCTTATACTGAGTTATCCAATGAAAGATGCCATTTACAGAAGGGCTCTGACTTGGTCCGTACATTTTGCCTGGGAAGGGGGAACCGGGCAGGAATCACATGGGGCAATTGTGAACTCAAAAAGCCCCACCTCTGGTTACCACCCACCCCACCTCTGAAGGCAGGGGCACAGAGAGCAGGGTTTATGAAGCAGGTCTTAACTGACAGGCTGGAGAATAGGGGAGGAGGTGGTCTTTCAAATACCCTGGCCACAAGCCATAAAGGAAAGAAGCAGTGCTTTGAACTGTGCCCAGAAATAAATGGGCAGCCAACGTAGATCTTTCAGCATTGGAGGTGATACGATCCCTGCATTCCCCCCCCCCCCCCCCGGCTGCTGCGTTTTGGATGTTCTGAAGTTTCTGGACCATTTTCAATGGCAGCCCCATGTAAAGCACATTACAGTAATCTAGCCCGGACGTGCTCAAAGCATGGATCACTGTGGCCAGATTACGCTTCTTAATTAATGGCTGTAGCTGGTTATCAGCAGAAGCAGGTAAAAGGCACTGTGTGCCACAGAGGAGATCTGGGCCTCCAGATGTAGGCCAGGATCCAGCAGTACCCCCAAGCTACGAGCCTGTTCCTTCAGGGGAGAAGTGCAGCCCCCTTCAGGACAGGCAGACTCAGTCCTTGAGCGGCTTTGTCCTTGACCAGCAGTGCCTCAGGCTTGTCTGGACTGAGCTGCAGTTTACTGGTCCTCATCCATCCAATTATCTTCTCCAGGCACCTGCTCAGAATTTCCACAGACCCACCTGACTCAGCTGTTAAGGAGAAGTAGAGTCCATACTTCATATGTCGGTGGCACCTTAATCCAAATCCCCTGTAAAGGAATTATCCCTTCCGTCTCTCAGTTCTCCTTTGCAAAAGCCTTCCTCCCCACCATTTAGGTGAAAATGGGCTTGGGAATGCTGTCTTTTGACATCTAGTTTGGTCCTACCACATCAGAGAGAAAAAATTATTTATGTACTAGTTTTCTAGCTTTTTACATTGGGGGGGGAGCATCAAAACACTGGCAGTCTGAAGAGGTAACATCTAGATTTCTGTCCCCCTCTGTCTACCATCTCATTTTGGAATGTGTAGTTTGGCTTTCCAATATACCTCATAACTGGATCTTGAGGTTTAAAACTTGTGCCTCTATTTGTAGTGTGCCTTGCCAACCAAATATCAGCGGATGTACATTTCAGTTGTAGCCTACAATTTGCAATTTTCTGACCGCAACTACTGATTTATCCAATCCGCAGACAGAAGAACTGTGATCAAATTGGGACGTGGCAGTTGGCTATCATATAGCAAAAACAGGATTTTAACTTGCAGTCTACTGTCTAGTATCTCCCCAACCACACTAAGGCATACCAACAGACTTACATCATTTGCCCAAGGAATCCTGGGAATTGTAGTTTGTTTTTACCATGCTGGGAACGCTCAGTTAGAAATGCCTACCTGCCTTCACAGACCTCTAGTTCCAAGGGTTCTCTGAGCTGAAGGTATTATTAAACCTGTTTATGCTATACACCATGCGTCCCTGGTGTTACATGAGCAAAGAATCACCAGTATCAACTCTTTCCTTTGTTTGCTTTTTCAGGTTTTTTGAATATATATACCTATATAAAGATGAAGTGATGTTTCAGATTGAGCAGGTTACAAAGCTGTGCTCCAAAATGGCTTTGACTGAGCCGTGGGATCCTTATGATATTCCTGACAATTCAACCTATGAAGATCAGTACTATATCGGTGGACCTTCAGATCAAATTATGGTACAGGAATGGTCTGATAGAAAACCAGCTAGGAAATGTAAGCCTGTCTTGCTTTACCTATTCAATCTTATTTCTTTGACCCACACAGGCACCCTGCTCCCACATAACCCTTTCTTGTCATCAAATCTATATATCTAATTCCGAAGTCGCCCCCTGGTGTGCGGATACTTATTTCCGCACATCGGGGGGACCTGGAGGGGAGGGAGATGTTTGTGCACACTTGGGGCAGTCCCCAGGTGTGCACAAAAATCTAAATCCCCGGGAAAAATATCGGGGGGATACTTAAATCC